GGTAGGGAGAAGTCTGTCAAACCGAAACAGCGAGGATAGGCTGACCAAAATTATTGGTAAACATGAGCTACTGGTAGCTTCATCACTCAACAGTCGCTCAACTTTGCGCATAATTTCCAAAGTAATGTATGCTCTTCCAAACTCCTGGTTTGCATTCAGGGAATAAGTTACGAATGAGCACTACCAAGTTGACAAAGCGCTTGAGGAACCAAAAATTCGATAGTAACATAAACCATTCAAGCAACAAAGGTCTACATGGATGGCCAAAACATATCTACAATGAAGAACTCTCTCTCTCTCTCTCTCTCTCCCTCCCTCTCCCTCACTCTCACTCTCTCACTCACCCATTAACCCTTTATCTACCTATTTGTATAAGTTTGGTCCTCCGGGCCGGATAAGGCATTGTTAGCGTTTAAAGTATAATTAAATCAGGTTTTTCAATATAACACACAAATCCACCAATGAAGAACGGAAACAAATTCGACAGACCAAAACAGGCAGGCCAAAATGATCGGCTACGACCTAACTATTAGTATATCACTCCAGTTCACACGGAAAATCCAAAATTTTATGTTTTGCTCAAGGTATATGCCAGAAGAATTACCCAAAGATACAGATACAACACAAAAAAGATACTCACTCCTGGACAAACATAGGCGCTACAAAGTATCTGAATATTCTGTTTTATTTTGTAGGAAAATAGAAAAGAAAGCGTAAAAGTATTTCTTTTTAACTATATATACAAAAATATATTAGTACGTTTATTTCTAAAGAGTAAAGTATATTCAATCGCTGCAAAACAGATTTTGATAGTTTTGTAGAAGTTTAATGAAATTATTGAAAGCCTGCCAATTCTAGTCAGAGATGCTCTGTTTCTTAATGATCGATTTAGTATGATAAATTTTTTGAGATGGTTTTGGTCGTTTTTAGCCATCCTGGTTCGCATCTAAGAGAATATTTGGGTCAGAATGGACACGCATGATCTTAAACCGCAGAAAATGCATCCCCTCATAAACCTAGACAGATTTTTTCACCAACGGACAATGTTGTAATCTCATAATTCCTTTTCAAATTTCAGGCTAAAATTTATTCCTAATTTATTTAATTGTGAAACCGTTTTTTGGTTTTCGTATTGCACTACTTTTTTTACAATCTATTAAAATCAGTGAAAACGTTTTGATATGGAGTTTCATTCTGAAATTTGTCACTGTAGAATCGACACACTAAAGCACAACCGAGCGAAACTAGACGGACCTAAGTAACTAAATAATATAAAATTGCTGACAAAACGAAACAGTGAAGAAAAAATCATCCTAATTGTGATAACCGCTACTGTGGACTTTTTTCCCCCTGTGAAACGTCCGTTCTACAATACCAATTACACACCTGCGGCCATAGGCGGACCAAAAGATTATCTTTAACGATCAAACAGCTGACAAGGGTCAATTTAGTTTCATTCTTCAACTGACCAGCAATTTATTCTCTTGCAACATAGTGTCTGAACCAATATATAATATTACAATATTGTATTAATCCAGGATGGATTTCTGTATATCTGACTGTCAAAAGGAAAACCTCTATCTATAAATTGCAACTCCAGTCGATACAAATTGTCTAAACGTTGAATTTAGCTCCTATTTATAATTTACAGTGTTAAAACCAGAAAAATATTAATACAAGCAATATTATTAATACATAATTGGCCTAATTGACTATCTGCTATGTCAGGATTTTTTTCGTACGTTCAAAACTAGTTTTGATCATTAGACACTAAGAATTCGACCAGATCGAGCCTAATTAGGGACCGGTGCTTGGAGTCATGACCTAGGAGAGATTTTTTATGATTAACACGTGTTAACGCTGTGAATGAAATGGTTCATTCCTAACTCGATCGCTGATAGTAAAGAGGGGCGGCGATCCTCGGCCATATGTCCAATTAGATAAAAATCGTGCATTTTTAATATGCGTTCGATACAAGTGATATTCGATCCCATATTGCAAAAGAGTCGTGGGTGCCCGGCAGAATCGAAATTCTCAGAAGAAAAATGGTTATTTTTCATTACGGAAGTGTTGCTCTGAGGAGAGTAGCAGGTGTGACCCGGTAACACCTGTGCCCATACCACTTTCGATAGCCGCTGCGAAATTGTTTCTGATAAACGAGTCTGTCCCAGTTTGGCGAGGTAAAAACAAACGTTAAGATGTCATTTAGTCATTTAGATAAGAAATTCCCTCCTTATCTGTTACATTTTAAACTGGAAGATATTGAATAATTGATCGACAATCGGGACATTTTAACCGGGTAGAAAAGGCTTTGTTTCATCCCCTGAGGGTGGACAGAAGGGAAAAATAAGGACAATTCATACTTCATGTATGTAAATATGTGCAATATTTATATATTTAAATAAAACAGAACTGTATTGATATTTATCTTTCACTCAGTATAGATCGATAAAGTTCATTTTCGAAAGTTATTTCGCTCAACCGCTCACATTCAAGAAGAAAACCATGTCTGACGCAAGAGGCTTATGACCGGATGTATTTGTCCGCGGTTCGATCATCCCTGATAATTCGAAGCTGACTATTTTCTTAGATGCGAACCAGGAGGTTCAAACAAGGCCAAAAACCTCCAAAATTTACCAAATTGAACAGTGCACCAAGAAGAAAAGCATGTCTGACGCAAGAGTCTTATGACCGGATGTATTTGTCCGCGGTTCGATCATCCCTGATAATTCGAAGCTGACTATTTTCTTAGATGTGAACCAGGAGGTTCAAACAGGGCCACAAACCTCCAAAATTTACCAAACTGAACAGTGCATCAAGAATAAAAGCATGTCTGACCCAAGAGAATGACGAGAATTGGCAGGCTTAATATTACTTCTAATAAACTATCAATATTAGTTTTATAACTATTGAATATAACTTATACTACATAGATAGATAAACAGTCTAATTATTTTTTGTATCAATTAAATCATTCGAAAACTTGGCATACACCTCGAGCGAAAGATACAATTGGATACAATTGTGAGATTTCTCTGTATGGTTTTTAGGGGTGATGTTCCAGTAGTCCAAGCAGGAGGCAGGCCAAAAATATTATGCGTATTTGTGCCGTTTTGAAAAACTTGAATTAATTTTAGTTTAAGCGCAAACAATACTTTATCCGACCCAGAGGACCAACCACACTTAAACTTTTGCTCCTAACCTAATTGTTCTTACAAACCCAACAATGAAGATGGCGAGAAGCTAACCCTGCGAATATACGCTGACCAGAGAGAGAGAGAGAGAGAGAGAGAGAGAGAGAGAGAGAGAGAGAGAGAGAGAAAGAGAGAGAGAGAGATTTTGGATCATCTTTTTGGCATACATTCTAGCAAAAGATAAAATTGTGAGATTTCTCAATGGGGTCTGCGAGGTGATGAAGATAGTCTTGACCAAAATGTTCGGTACTGATAGTGATACATTTTGGTCAGCTTGTCGTTGCTAATTTGGTTTGTCAAACGCCTTATGGCTTCTAGCAATTTTTATTATTAGTTAGTTATTTTTGAAAAATTATAATTAGTTGCACTTTAAGCACCTCGAGCAAAGGATAAAATTGTGAGATTTTTCCGTGCGGTCTGAGGAGGAATGTATCACTATCAGTTCCAATTCATTTTGGTCAGCCTATCCTTGCCATTTTGGTCTGACAAACGCGTTTCATTGTCACACCATCTACAATTGTTGGTTTGTGTAATTTTGAATTAATTATATTTTAAGCGCTAACGACCCTTCGGGCCAAACAAGCTTAAACTTATTCTATTGATCTAACTGATATTGCAAAAAGCACTGAAGATGGCGAGAAGCCATCGCAGCAAAGATTGACAGACCGAAATTGCCGGTAACGACTAATTAAAAAGTAAATTTTTAAATTATTATAATTTCGAGAAAGCTTGTGTATGAGTGTGTGTGTCTTTGAATAATTCTTCTGGCATAGACCTGGAGCAAAAGATAAAATTGTAAAATTTCTTCGTGCGGTTTGGAGTTGGTTTATGTGTTATTTTGAAATACTTGAATTAATTATACTCTAAGCGGAACAATACCGTGTCCGGCCCGGAGGACCAAATACGCTTAAACTTATTCTCCTGATTTAGTTAGTCTTACAAACCCAGTACGTGCCTTACTAACTAATCCAGCGAATATAAGCAGAGAGAAAGAGACAGAGATAAAGATAGAGAGATAAATGATAGAGAGATAAATGATAGATAAATAGATAGATAGATAAATATATAGATAGACAGATAAATAGATAGGTAGATAAATAGATAGATGGATAGATTGATTGATTGATTGATTGATTGATTGATAGATAGAAAACGAGAAAGAGAGAGAGTGCCAGATAGAAAGGCATACAACAAATAAGTACTAGAATTAGGTAAAATGTTAAATTATTATTAATTAATTAAGTAATTGATAAGAGTAATAACACACACACACATATATATATATATATATATATACATTGTAAATATATGTCTTTCAATTGTGTGTGCTTGTGCTTTTATATAATATTTGTACGTGTCATTCTGTATATTTCTGTATCTGTCAGTCTTTATGTGTGTGTGTGTGTGTGTGTGTGTGTGTGTGTGTGTGTGTGTGTGTGTGTGTGTGTGTGTGTGTGTGTGTGTCTGTGTGTGTCTGTGTGTGTATGCGTGCGTGTGTGTGTGCGCGCGCGCGTGTGTGTGTCTTTATTGCTATTTACATTCGTTTGTTCAAACTGTAGGTCGCTTTGTATATAAAGTAAACAATAAACCTATTATTTATCCAACCCAACATTTTCATCTATAATCTGTTGCTTCAAAGCAGATTTTTAAAGCAAAAGGTATGCAAACACTTCATAATAAAACGTGATGTCCGAACCATTTATGATCGATTTGGCATTGAAATCGTTAAAATGTAGCTAGTGGTTTTTTTTTAATAAATTAAATGTACAGACAGAAAATTAATATTATCAAGTTAAAAAAATTCACCTTAGAGCACGTCGTATCCAGAGGGTAAGCATGACAAACGAAGTCTATCCTTCCCGGCGGCGTGGTGCTTACTGAAGTCTGAAAACCGTCGGGTGCGATCGGGAGGCAACCAGATGGTTGGTTGAACGTGGTGGGGATTTGGAACAGAACACCGACTGGGAAGAGTCAGCCTCAGCAGGCGGCAGCGAGTGCTTTCTGCAAACGAATAGCATTATCCATCGAGCCGGATTGATTTGGAGCAGATGTCAACAAGGGGGCGGATAAGATGGGCCGGCCTGCTTAATATCGACCCCTTTTTTGGGGGATTAGCCTCGCCCTGCTACTGATCCCACTTTATTTCCTGACGCACGTGGGTCTGCGGACAACGGCTAACAAACATTTGCCTAATTTAAAATACAATAACTGACGATTAGAGTAATCCATAATACAAAACACAGGGGAAGATTCGGTCCAAATATACCAATTAATAAAATTCCAATTTCATGTTTATACACTTTCCATCATAAACAACCGACTACCTGATTTTTGCATGAAAAAATGGCCAACTTTGGAAATTTTTTAGTAAATTTTACACTAAACAAGTTGACTTTTTTAAATGTTTGCCTAGCTTCAGGCATTCATCAGTAAATTCAAAAATTCAGGAACATTACAAACGTTATTTTTTGTACTTTTTAGAAAATTTCAAATTGTGCCTTGAAGCCAGGAAATGGTCTTGGAGCGGGCCCTAAGCAATCCATATGCAATTTTAATAAGCTATCAATTGGTCACCTTCCATTTTGCCAGATTTCTCAACTGTTTTCGAGTTATTCGCGATTTTTGGGCAAAAACGTGGATTACGTTATTCGAAGTCAATCTGCCACAACACCTGTGAAATGAGAAGGAAAAGTTGAATTTCCATGATGGGGAAAACAAGTGGTGACGGTCAGCAGAAGCATTCCGCATCCTAAAAGGTCAAAGTAAGAAAAAGTAAGAATTGTCTCTTCCCTGTTCAGTTTCTTGAAAAAGTCCTCGTAATAAAAATTGTAGGGTGTAAAATTTGCGAAAACATGACGGTTCAAAATTTATGCATTCTTGAAAATCGGGAAAGATAGTGATCGGTTTTTTCATGAGCACGTAAAAAAATAATAATAAAAAAGTTTTTGCCCAAAAATCGCGAATAGCTCGAAAACAGTTGAGAAATCTGGCAAAGTGGAAGGTGCTTATTAAATTTCCTATCGATTGCTATAACGCCCCACTCCGGAACGATTTCCTGGCCCGACAGCTCAATTTGAAGTTTTTGGAAAAAGTGCAGAAATTAACACGTTCCCGAATTTTTGAATTTACTGATGAATGATTGAAGCTAGGAAAACACCTAAAAACGCCATCTTGTTCAGCGTAAAAGTTTCTAAAAAAATGAGACCTAGCCACAGGTTTGTAACAGGCTGAGAAAATATGCATTTACAAAGGCCAATTTTTCATGCAAAAGCCATGTGGTCGGGTTTTTTGATGTGCAGTGTATTTTTCCTAACAGAAAATCATATTTTTATCGCTCAATGATAAATACTTATGGCAAATTAGCATTTTAAAAAATATATTAATGTTCGTCACTGAAGTTTGGAAATTTCTGAACAGACATTTCTCCCTGATTGCTTAGCATGTTGCTGTTTATATACCTTGCAACAAAATGTTATGTATACGAACATTTTGTTTATATAATATCATGCGATAATAACGTAGACGTTCTGAAAGAAGAAAAATCTAAAGCTATATGTTTTGTCTTTCCGTATGACAATGGACAAATTAAAGTTCACTCACCGTAAATAATCAATTATTAAACGCTGTTCTTATTTATGAAATGTTATTTTTTCCAACGGGTTAAAGACTGAAGAAGAATTAACCTGAAAAAGGTAGAGTGATAAATCAAAACAAAATAAGTATTTAGCGTTGTCATCGTAGTATATACTTTTTGAAAGAGATTGTTCGAGGACTTATGATTTGGGATAAAATAAAACGTAAAATTAAAATATCGAGTGCAAATAGGACACGTTGGAAACACACAAAAGGCAAACCGAGTGAAACGATGGATAATGAATTGTTATGTAATGAGGACAGATCATCACTTAATGTAAAACCCCTTTTGGACGTCTGATGTTTCTTGGCGGCGGAGGACGAGAAGCGAGCGGTCATGGTGGCTTCCCAGACCGGCGAGATCAACCACTGTTGGTTGTTGGATATAGTCGATGGTGGGCGTTGGTCTGTGAGTCGGTGACCACACGTTGAACCGGCACTGGGTCACTTACTAGCTCCAACCACACTTTTCAGCGGTTGTCGGCTTTGAGTAATCTTCAGTGAGGAACTGTCTAAGATGGTGTAAAGCTAAAACGCATTTGAGTAATTTCAAAAACCCGCGGGTGTAGACGGACACCAGTAGTGACCCAGCATTGGTTCGGCTTGTACCGACGGTATATAGTTTGGCATAGGAGGAGTCTCCCCCCGTGGCAAGAGCTCCATATTCAGTCTCACCACGCTATTTTATACTCACTACTCTTGACGTGAGATTTAATTGCTGAAGTCCAAGTATCAAATTGATGCAGTCATATTGGTTTTATAATATCCAGGTAACTTTGGCGTTTTAGTCCAAAGGTGGTTTAGACATTGAATTCAAAAGATAGTGTCCAATTCGATACTATAAGTACAATTTAGTCAATACGCTTCTCACAACCATTTTGCGTCATGATACACATCAAGGCACTTGAGTATGTTGAGTTGTTGCAACGTTTCCTCTTGGAGACGTACTAGTTTTGGTTGGACGCTAGTTTCTGACTTCATCAGTGAACGACTGCAGCCTCCTGCTACGTCTGTTTCGTTCCTAGAACATCACTGCAGTATCATCTGCAAAATGTGTCCATTAGAATGTATACATTTTCACTTTATCACCGAATGACTGCAGACTCCTGTTATGTAGGGTTCGCCCCTCAAGTGTTGCAGCATGTGCCAATTAAGTATGGGTGTATGTGGGTAGTATATATANTATATATATATGCAACAGTGGACCCCACACACTTCCCCGAGTAACTGCAGCATTTTTAGCATTGTATGCATTTTTATTAAATTGATGCGCTCATCTAAAATTTTCATTCTCGCAAGGCGCGTCATTCAATAATTGATGATTTTGGCAGAAAATACAACGAAAAATACAGTCATCTAGTACAATTGTAGCAAATTAGAAACTATTCTAACTATAACCTAGTTAATTGCTGGATCCCAGAGTTGTTTAAGTAATGAGTACAGTTAATAAAATAAAAAATAAGCTATCTTTTTTTCGCTGTTAGATTGTCTTGTTATATATTGTCTCGGACATTTATCCGTATGTTCAACGGTTGAGTCTGTGCGTTGACATCTTAGTTTGTCCTAGTTTAAGAACGGTCAATGCTAACGATTTCGGAAGATAATACAAGACGTCCAGTGAAAATGTAGCAAATTAGAAACTGAATTGTTGAATTCCAGAAGGTTTTTTTTTAAATAATAATCACAGATAATCACATCAAATTCAACGTGTCACAATTTGTTTTCGGTTTGATAGACCTATTCTAGCTGCATAACTGCACATGGCTCAAATTTCAAACCACTTTCGATAAAGATAGAGAGAATTGCAGAATCCCCCCATTATATGATGATCTCAGATCATCGTTGTTTTAGAGGCTCAACAAATATCAAATAGAACATAGGCCATATTTACAATTTTTTGAGGTATCTTCATAAGGTCTTAGTGATGAAGTAGACTTTTTTGGGTACACCAAGCTTTCGGCGATTTGTATCAAAAAAGTCTACTTCATCATAAAGCCCTTATGAAGATACCTCAAAAAATTCTAATGTCATTACTGTCAGGTCAATAAAAATTCCAACTTTAATAGGCCATCTTTATTTCATGGCAAGATCGCTCTGTTCTAGTGATAGGAATGTCTCGGAAATTATTTTTATTATAAACTATATTTTTAGACATTACCTTTTTTTTTAGAAATTCATGTGTTCAATTTTTCCTATTTTGATCATCCTATTCTAGCATTATTCATAGGTCAGACGATTTACTGATGTCCAATCACTCTCATAACAACCGTCACACTTATTTACGTTGTATTTTTCAATAAATAAGCCCCGAGGATGGCGATGTAAATGGCCGAAAGCTTGGTGAAACCAAAAAAAAGTCTACTTCATCACAAAGACCTTAAGAAACTCAAACAATTCTAATGTGATTTCAGTCGGGTCAATAAAAATTCCAACTTTAATAGGCCATCGATTTTTCATGGCAAGCTCGCGTTGTTCTAGGTATAGGAATGTCTCGGAAATTATTTTTATTATACTCTATATTTTTAGTCATTTACTTTTTTTTAGAAATTCACATGTCCAATTTTTCCTACTTTGATCCTAGCTTTACTCACAGGTCAGACGATTTTCTGCATTTTCATGGTTTAGCCGAAAGCTTGGAGCATCCAAAAAAAGTCTACTTTATCTTTAAAAAAACCTTATGAAACTCAAAAGATTCTAATGTGATTACTGTCAGGTCAATAAAAACTCAAACATTAATAGGCCATCTTTTTTTCATGGCAAGATCGCTCTGTTCTAGGTATAGGAATGTCTCGGAAATTATTTTTATTATAAACTATATTTTTAGACATTTACATTTTTTTTAGAAATTCACGTGTTCAATTTTTCCTACTTTGATCCGAGCTTTATTCATAGGTCAGACGATTTTCTGCATTTTTATGGTTGAGCCGAAAGCTTGGAGCATCCAAAAAAGTCTACTTTATCTTAAAAAAAACCTTATGAAACTCAAAAGATTCTGATGTGATTACTGTCAGGTCAATAAAAATTCCAACTTTAATAGGCCATCGATTTTTCATGGCAAACTCGCCTTGTTCTAGGTGTAGGAATGTCTCGGAAATTATTTTTATTATACACTATATTTTTAGTCATTTACCTTTTTTTTAGAAATTCACATGTCCAATTTTTCCTATTTTGATCATCCTATTCTAGCTTTACTCATAGGTCAGACGATTTTCAGCATTTTCAGGTTGAGTACGAGCGTTGCCATTTTATTTTGTCATTTTTATTGAGAAAATGACATGAAAATTACTAACTGATTTGATCAGAGTTGATTAAAATTTTTGTCCAATCACTCTGATAACAACCGATGCACTTCGCGTTCCTTTAAAACTCTTACTTCTTCCGCTTGATTATATAATTATTAAATTATATTATATATCAAAATATTCCAGTAAAACACAAACTAAGAAAAAAAGACTGTTTAAATGGGTGCGGCTGGGTTTTTTTATGGAGGAAAGTTTCGATTGTCGACAAATCTGTTAAGACACATGTGCCCGCCCTGCCAGATGTGACAAGGAGGCCCCGAAGTCATTTAACACGTGTTGCTAGTTTCTGAATGGGCCTTTGCCTATTTGGAAATACACGGAGGGCCTTGTGGGCAATGTGTCGGCTAAAAAATTACTCGGAGACGTTTAAAAAATCTAGTCCAACGGGTTTCGATGTCGTGTGGACAACCCATTCAGTAAAGAGTTCATGCAATATAGGGGTGATCCACACTATTATATTATACGTACTGGCCATACTGGCAATCATTTCATCATCATCATTTGGTGAAGTAGGTCGGAACTTTGGATAAGCCTAAGGCACCGTACTTTATGGCTTTTTATCTTAAACTTAATTTTAAATCAATAAACTTTTGTTAATTCGCAGTTCGACCGATTGTTATACATATCAACTTTTCGCATAGCACACTTAGGTCATAACTTCAAAAACACTTCTTCCATCAACAGTTCTTTTATAATAAAAAAAAAGTCAGTCATTCCAGCAATTCAACGTTTTATCAGTTGGCGAGTAATAAAAAAAGCCCATCCGGTGATGTACAATATTGCAAAATAGCAACTGTACAAATTCGAAATTAATTTATCCGAAGAACAAAAGTTCCCTCCCTGCTGGTTGTACGCACTTGTCGGTTTTTAACTGTCGGCATTTCTCGCAGGCCGAAACCTGGTGATTAACAGAGTGGAAAAGGGACAATTAGAGCGTGTTTCCTCGACCCTTGGTCTTGCCCTTTTCCCCTTTTCCTCGGAAAGGGCTGTCTGAACTGTTTTCGACTGTGACTCTAGCCTGCCACTGCTAATCACACGTCCCTAAAAAAAATCAAATTTTAAATCCTTGAATTAAGATGGTTTAATCGGTAATCCGACATCGGCCCTCAGACACAACACATTCACGCTAATAAATACATTCAGTCTCATATACACAAAGTGGAACAAAAAACGAGATATCTATCAAGACTATATACGATAAACGTCTAACTATTTAAACGACCTAAATTCACTAATTTCGTGGACGCTTGACCAATTAATACATTACAATTAATTAAGGTTTTTAGTTGAGATGAAAAAAAGTTAATGGCCTGAGCGGGATTCGAACCCACGATCTTCGGCTAGATACGCCGCTGCTCTCCCACCTGTGCTATCGTGATCTCGATCCATTCGGACATCAACTTCCTATCTCAACGCCACCTTATGAGTTTTCCCTCCTTTTTGCCATTTTTCAAATGTCGTGTAATCGGATTGGATTCTCGACGACAAATGGCAAAAAGGAGGGAAAACTCATAAGGTGGGGTTGAGATAGGAAGGTGATGTCCGACTGGATCGAGGTCACGATAGCTCAAGTGGTAGAGCAGCGGCGTATCTAGCCGAAGATCGTGGGTTCTAATCCCGCTCATGCCATTAACTTTTTTTCATCTCAACTAAAAACCTTAATTGCATAAACGACCTTTTTTTCTCCACCCAAATATTTCTTGCAGTGCTCAAGTACAATTAGCGAATCGGGTGACATTCTTACACACTCTCTATATGGACCTAAGGAATGACACCCTTCAATTAAGTGAGACACATCAAGCTTTCTCTACGTGCCAGGCACAGGGTATGGTTTGGTGATGAGGATACTAGGATACTAGGTTGGTGCTTCCCAAGCACTGCTTCTGACTTGTTGTACCTTCCTAGTTCCCTAGTTCAATGCAATAGAGTCAATACATAGTCAATACAAAGAAAACGTCTTTAAAGTAGTAATAGTTCGTTTTCCTAGAGAATGTTGGCAATAATTGCATTTTCTTCTAGTAATATAACATATCGTAAATAAACGATAATTTAATCGGAAAATACCTACTCAATTACTAAACAATGCTATGTTTTGAATTATTGTTTTATTTGTTCTAAAATGTATAATTTATAGCAAGGAGATGTTATTTTTATTTTAATCATGTTGCTGCACTGAATAAGCGCATAAAGTTAAAAATTTGTGAAACGATTGTAAATTTATCCTGCCAAATATACACCGTTTCACTCCGACCTAAAATCGTTGTATTTTTCAGTTTAAGGCATTTTTGTTTGTTTATTGAAAAACGTTTATTGTCGATTTTCTAAAACATCTGAAACATTTGATTAGTAGAGAAGTTGAATCAGTTTTATAATCCATATGCTCGTTAATGAAACAACTTACTTTTCAAATTGTTATATTTCTATTCGAAATTAATAAATTTCAAAATGACCCGGAAAAAATAACTGCAAAAACCCCAGCACGGCGCAGACGAAAACTTGAATAGTCAGAATTATCGAGACGGGAAGAAATCTAGGTTCCTTTATGAAGTGTACATATATGGACGTAGCTGTCAAATTCAACGCGACGATAATCGAAAAGATTATCGCCCTGAGCTTTTCCGGTGATTTGTCTATGACGATCGCGTAGTAGGAGACGCTGGTGAAAACGTTCGCAAGGCTCGTTAAGCAAAGCGGAATAAACAAGTAGTAGTAATTAATGACCAATGGGCCTTCGACAGGGTATAAAATCCCTTGACTGCCATTACCCGACGGAACGAAATAGGAGTACAAAGTGTTCGGTAGGATGTCGACCGTGTTAGGCAATACACCGTCCATACTCACCTTGTAAACGCCCGGTTTCACGTATTTACAAACCCCTCGTTCTACACTCGATAATTTGAAAGTGAATTTGGTTTTTTGATTAAAAAACAATACATCAAATGTTCTGTTTGTTGAAGTGACTATGAACAATTTGGCTTGCTTGGAATGTACTTCTCCTGTGAAAAGGGAGGGATCGGCTTCGCTGTTTCGTTCCAAACCGTTCTCCGTTACAATGTAAGTTACTGTACGCTGTTCCATTACGACTATTTTGTAACTTTCCATCGATTCATTGATCGTCAGATGATATCCGGCGTCCGACGATGTGACAGACGGTATATCCTTCCATAGGATAAACTCAAGAGGGAAAATCACAAATCTGCTCTTACTCCATGAACTATGTACAGTGACTTCAGTGTGTAAGCCGTTATAAATTCTTATTTGAGAATAATTGCTTCGTGGAAGATACGGAAGGTGAGTTTCTAATATTATATTGATGCTCAGTGTCATCACCAAGGCCACGAACATGCACAGATAGCCTAAACAAATAAAATGAGAATTTCGAAAGTTGGCCTCTCGTAAAATAGGATGAATGACGAATTCGTGAAGAGGAAACAAAAACGCGTCGAAGTAAAAGCAGTAGTACGCGATTTGTAGGTTTTCCTCTACGGGACGTTCGACGAGGCGTGCCTGGAAATCCGTAACGTCCAAAATTGTCAGCATGAAGATCGTGAAGAAAAATGGTTGAAACGTTACGATAAAAGCTGACAAAAACAACGACGTTTGGCGGACCGTAAGATCGGTACACGACGGTTTTGAGTTATCGAGACAACTCCTTTGGGTCGTAACAGCTGGTATTCTTCGCACTTGAATTTTCTCCTCGGGCTCTGGGTCTTGAACGGCAGAAACAAAGCTTTTTCTTAGTAACCTTAACCCACGTTTTTCCTGCTTTTCGTCCTCGGCCATACTAGAACCCTTCAAATCGACCAATTTTTCCTCGATCCCGGCGACTTTTTTTATTTTGGTGGTCATTAATAGGTAACCGTAGCAGGACACCTTAATCTTATCGAGTTCTGTGTAGTCCTCGAAGTGGGGAGTGTCGAAGTCTTGAATACGCATATGGGCTTTTGGAAGAAAGCTGACATTCTTTCTCTTTGCTTTAGAATTAGGCTCGTTATTCGCTCGCAGTACAGGCCGAAGAAGGAGTTGCGATGCCCTTCTCAATTTTTTTGAACGTTTACATGAATTTATCGCAGCTAGAAGTACACACTTTATACATTTTTCACAAACGAGAAAGTACGTGGATTCGATGTACACACGGCTGCCGATACCCATCATGAAGATAAAATAGCTAAAGCTGACGACCGCGGCGGCGAAACTCAGAAATACGAACAACATTTTTATATCTATCCCGACCAAGTGTAGTGCTGATATACCGCTCTTCACCCACACTCGTACCAGAACGAGGTAGAATATAAACTTGCTCAGATTTTCTATTGTCATCGCTATTTCCCACTGTTCCAAGAGGAAGGCGTTTCTCACCCCGGACGTCGCTGTATACGCCAGTATCAAATAACGGCTCAACTCGAATACGTTCAACATATCTGACACGAAATAGGTTGCGACTGCAGTACACGCCACCACTATGAATACCAATCCGATTAAAATTACGTAATACTTTCCGGCCGCGCTATCCGATAGCCATCCTACTAAAAGAGTGCATCCAGCAGTGATCAATAGGTAAAAACTTAAGACATCTATGTTCGGTGAATAACCACAGTTCATCACCAGCTCGTACCCAAGATCCATCCTTGTAATAAGCCTCGTTACCTCCAAGGCGAAAGAAATCGCGATTTCACTGATTACGATAACACGTTCATCGATATAGGTCATGATCGTAAGATGTAATAAAAATCCGTCAGATATTTAAAATTATAGATACAAAACAAAAACAATGTGTCTAATAAAATGTATTAATCCATATGTTTTAACGTAGTATTAATATACATAAACATTTTTTTTACAACTACTCCAATCAACTGCAAGTAAAATTGTTTTTGTCAATTCGTCTCACTGCTGTGTTAACCTCCTAGGGGGATTGCTAGAGATAATACGTGATGTTAAGCTTACGACTCAGGGATTTTTTTTGCAAAAGATCATTGTCATTTAAGCTCGATTAGTCATAAGATTTACCATCAATATGTGGATCAACATTTCTGAGAAAAGGAGAACCTTTTAATTTCAGCACATTTAACCACTACTTAAAGGAAATAAAAACAGTAAATATTCAACTGATGGTTGTTCAGAAGTTTTATTATAAAATTAATTATTTATTAATACTCACTTCCAACAAATGTTATCCGTTGCTTTATCACATGTAAAAAAACAAATGCCTTATGCATACAGTTACAACAAATGATGTCAAAAAATTCTACCATAGTCGAAGAAAAGAACAATCGATGGTTAATTTACAAGAGGAATTATGTAGGTTTGTTCTCAATCAACTATCGCACATTGGGTCGTTATTGAAGAATTTCAACAATAAAAAAGTGAAAAAGTTAGTGCCACGAGCGGGGTTCGAACCCACGACCTTCGGCTCAATACGCCGCTCCACTACCACTTGAGCTATCGTGACAATTATAAAGCTCAAGTGGTAGAGTAGCGGCGTATTTAGCCGAAGGTCGTGGGTTCGAATCCCGCTCGTGGCACTAACTTTTTCATTTCAACCAAACCCTTACTTAAATATTAATTGAAAGAAGTAATTTGGTCAATAGACCACTGAATATAATGGATTTAATTAAAAAAGGTTTTTGCACTTTTTTCAGTTAATTTTCAAAGTCTAAGAGCACAGGATTTATCTAAAATCATATTTCTTAATACTTTCGGAAACATGAGTTGATGATTATTATTATAATATTAATTTTATTAATATTATAATTATTATTATTAATTTATTAATTTTGGCTTATTATTAATTTTGGCTGCATCGTTCAAATCGAACGTACTTTGGTGGTAGCTGGAGTATAAATATAAAAATAATATAAAATAATAAAAATTCCAACAAGAGCTTCTTTTGCACTTCAAACATAAAAATTATTTTTTGCTAAGTTAATGTAGTCCCTGAAAATAGCAGCATGGTCAGTCGGAGATTTTTGACCTCTCAGTGCATTTTGGATGGTAAATTTTAATAGTTGCCAATTTTAATAGATGTATATTTCTCCTAACCAAATTATTTCCAACATATAATTAAATTTATATGAATGTGTGGTGTTTAGCGACCGTTAGCCAATGATTATTTGGAGATCGTGAGGTGCGTTCTGATGTGACGTAGGTTTTAGAAAAACATTTTCTTTATCGTACCAACGTTTCGATCTTTATTGGGATCATCTTCAGACCTCAAAGTGTTCGTTTGCCGTGTAGATTCATTCTTGTGTGTCGTGTTGAGATTGCCACTTTGAGCCCTGAAGATGATCTCAATAAAGATCGAAACGTTGGCACGATAAAGAAAATGTTTTTCTAAAATCCTACGTCACGCCAGATCGCACCTCACGATCTCCAAATAATTATTAAATTTATATATCAAACATTATTATTCTACTCCAATAATACGTTTATTAATGACTGAATTGATAAAGAGTTATCGCAATTGTGAATTATTTTCAGTAGAAATTTCAACAATAATTTTGCTTCTGAGGAAGAACAACCTTCAATTGCTTTTTTTGATATGAAATTTAATTTATCAATAAACAATGATACCAACTTCTAAACTACCAAATCAGGAAGCACCTTTGATGCTTTGGTAGATACCTTGAGAAATTAGAATCAAGAACATTCATATCATATTTTATCATAACACATCGTAAAACCATAGTCTCTTTTCTAATGAGGAATCATTAATGATTATAAATTAAAATTTGAATATTGATTCCAAACCGAGCATGTTCTTAAGTGTGAACTTTTCATCAGAGGTGTGTAGTGTGAGATACACGGTATTTTTTAATTAAGTGAAGTATTTTATTGGGGTTTGGAAAGTAAAAGCCTATTATTATACTAATTTCCCATAGGGAAGTCAGCGTAACGTCAGGGTTATAAACAGGGCGAGGCAACACTACGACTTTTATCTGTGTCGAACGCTTTGAACACTTGTAAACACTCCATCGAGTATTTAATTAATTCATTGGGATAAGATCAAAATGCCAAAAACCACCTTCATAGATGAACAAATTCATTCATTGATTCCCACAGAAACGTTAGGCTCTGTTTACGGTATAAAATACACTGTCATGATAATCATCAAAATTATGCCCATTGTGGCCGATAATCCACAAAATCCATGCTAATCCGAGGTTAAATTTCGTGCAATTTAGTATCATTGATAACCCAAGGACATGGACTAATATAAAAAAACTTAATTTCTAAGGAGGTTTGTAACGACCTACTTGCAAGTTTTCCAACTTGAGCTGGGAAAGCGCGTTCCAATACACACAGACAGACAAAAAATTCCACCCACTTGTAATATAACTTGATTTGTATATATTTTTATATATTAATCAAAGTTTCAGGTTTTTTAACGTCTAATAATTGAGCCTTTGTCTAAGAAAGTAAAAAAAATGTAAATTACTAAGGAATATTAAAAAAAGACGGACATATAAAATTTGTTTTAATTTTGTTTTAGATTTTTAATTAATTCCCTATTTTTCGTGGTCCGCTTGACCAATTAATCAATTAATGACCAATTAATGTCGTGTAATCGGATTGGATTCTCGGCGACAAATGAAATGGCCACGGAGAGCTTTAGTGAAGTGTACTTCATTTCAGTTCATTAAATTCACTATTTTTTGTGGTCCGCTTGACCAATTAACCACATTTGAGAAATGGCAAAAAGGAGGGAAAATTCAAAAGGTGAGGGTTGAGATGGGAAGTTAGTGCCCGAGGTGATCGAAGTCACGATAGCTCAAGTGGTAGAGTAGCGGCGTATCAAGCCGAAGGTCGTGGGTTCGAATCCCGCTGTGACACTGACTTTTTTTCAACTTAAAACCTTAATTAATTGAATGTTTTTAATTAATGTGTGTAGAGATTAGTGACCGTTAATCGATTGTAATTCATATATCTTGAGATGCGGTCGGGTGTGATGTAGGTTTCAGAAAAACATTTTCTTTATCGTGCCAACGTTTCGATCTTTTATTGAGATCATCTTCAGGGCTCAAAGTGTTTGTCTTCTGTGTAGATGTGCCATCCTTGCGTGTCGTGTTGAGAGTGCCAATTTTAATTAATATTTCACTATCGCGTATTTCTTCCTCTTGCCTTAATTGCATCACGAAGACGCTTCGGCATACTTTCTACCAGTCTGGAAATGTCTCTTTGCTGGAGATTAGCCCATTCGTCACGAAGAATCGTTTCAGGACCGTGGATTGTATCAGGACGTGATGGTCCTCCTCTTAATCATCTTTTGAGGTTATTCCATAAATTTTCGATGAGGCTCAAGTCTGGAGAACGGGCTGGCTAGGCTAAGAACCTGATTTTATGATGTTGAAGGTTTGTATTGTCCTGTTTGTACTATGCGAGGGACATGTGGACGGGCATAACCGTGCATTAGAACAGGATTGTCGCTGATTTCATCGAGGATAGGCAACGCATGATTTTCCAAAATTTCAACCACATAGCGAGTGGCCGTCAAAGACCCTCCACGAACAACAACCAACTCTGGGCGACTCTCCATTCCAATTCCCACACGTATCATCACTGAGCTAAGTTGAAAAGGTCGGCTCTGGGAAAAATTACAGGCTTCGTACCTTTTATTTCGCCTTCTCCACACTCTTTCACGCCCATCTGGAGAGAAAATCTAAACTCATCTGCAAATATTACAGCAGACCAACCGTCTACAGACCAATGTGTTCTCGAGCAAATGTGGGCCGTGGCACTCTGTGATTTCTGATCAATTCTGGTCCTCTTACTGGGCGATAAGCCATCAGTCCATACTGACTTAATCTTCGTCGAGCAGTGCGTTCAGAAATTTGAACACCTCGAACTTCCTGGAGCTGATGAATCGCTTGAACAACAGTAAGGTGCCGGTTTCGCAAAATTCTCAACATCAAAAAACGGTCATCCTGTCGTTCTGTTCCCCTAGGGCGTCCAGAACCGGGCCTTCGATGGTAGAACCCAGTTTTTCAAAAAATCTAACGTCGTCCCAGAGTTTCGTATGGAACATCCAACGTCAATTATTGCCACACATCGCGCAACATCCTCAGCACTAAGTGGTATTTTTTAAGTTTAAAAATTGAAATTAAGAAAACAAAGATGGAAACTAAACAGTTTATTTCTTCAGAATTCAAATGAGACTGAATAAACATTTTAAATTCCCGTAATAATTAAACATTGAAAAATCCTTTATCCTTGCTTTGGATTAAGGATTAAGAGTGTTTACCTCTAATTAATATTCCCAATTTAAAACATAGCATAAACAAATATTTATTGATAAAAACAATTTTTTTTTTGCTTTTTCCTTTGGAAATATTGCCATATAAGATTTATTCATTTATTTCAATTTTTTTTATCCTTCTCCCGGACGTTAAAAGGAAATGTTGATTGATTTAAGAAATTTATAAATTAAATCCAAGACCTTCATGTTGTTACTTGCCAACAGCGTTTCAAGATTTATTGGGCCTGTTATACTGGGGTCCCTATACAGATCATCCAATAATTGTTTCCTCTGGTTATCGTACTCTGGCCATTCTAATATTAGATGACTGGGATTTGATGGACTGTCGCATGTTGGACAGTTAGGGGAAGTGGTTATTCCAATTCTATGCCTATAACTCCCCCACAGGCCATGGTTAGTNTGGATGATTTTTACCCCGTCTGTGACTACTGTATCCAGGTCTGCTGCATATATCGAGTACAATACCGGGCTCAGAATACCCCCTTGTGGAAGGCCCTTAAAGGTCCTCTTGGGACCATAATAAGACCCGTTAAGGCAAAAAAACATATTTCTTCCCATCATTAATGCCATAATGTTTTGAACGAATTTGTTTGGAAGGCCCAGTTTTATTAATTTATGGCCTAAAATATGAATGCTGACGTTATCGTAGCACCGCTTATGTCTAAGAATAATCCCAATACCGTTTTACCCTGAGTAAACGCCAAATTTATATCAACAATTAATTTTGCCTGAGCATCCAAAACAGATAGGTTCCTCCGAAAACCATACTGGCTATTTGGGAGTTTATGATTTCTTTCTAACCACCATTGTAG